GTTCTGACATGCACTTGATTTTAAAATATTGATTTGCTAATCTCACTTATCTGTTTTTAATAGCTTTTTTGTAGATTCTTTTGGGTCTTTCTACTTAGACAATTAAGTTGTCTGTGAATAAAGACAGCATTTTTTATTTTCAAGCTGTATTTATTATGTATTTCTTCTTCCATTATTGCACTACCTACAATGACTAATAAAAGTATTTATTGGGGGCATTGCTGTCTTGTTCCGATTTTAGGAAGAAAGCATTCAGTCTTTCACCAATAAATATGTTAGCTGTAGGTATTTTGTACATCTATTTCATCAGGTTGAGGAAGACTTCTTTTATAGCATGAATATTGAACTGTGTCAATTTTTTTTTCTGCATCTAGTGAAATGACCATATCCTTTCCCTATAAATGTTTTATTATACTGATTGATTTCTGACTATTGAACCAGTCTTCCATTTCAGAACAAACCCCACATTTTTCCAGTTTTACATATTGCTGGATTCACTTGGTGAATATTTTTTAAGGATGTTTATGTTTATAATTATGAAGGCTATTGCTCTGTCCTTTTATTTTCTTATGATGACTTTGGTTGTGGTTTTTGGGTAATGCTGTCTTCATAAAATGAACTAGGAAGTATCCCCAAAACTTCACTGTAGAAAAAATTCTGTAAAATATTTATTTCTTCCTTAAATATTTGGTAGAATTCACCAGTGAAACTTTCTAAGTCTGGAGTTTTCTTTGAAGAATTTTAACTACAAATTTAATTACTGTAGTTATGTATTTCTTCCTCAGTGAGTTGGTAGTTACCATTTTTTCTTTCTCTGTGGGTTTTTCTCGAACCCTATCAGTTGAATTCAGGTGTTTCTCACCATCATGGTAACACAGATCAAGAATTTAACACCTGTGCATTAGGGGCTATAATAACCACAGGAGGCTGTGGTGTCTACCTTGCTACTCAAAGGTGGCAGAAGCTAGCCTGTGAATGGCTGGAGCAACCAGGGGCATTTTCCTCCTTTGGCACCCCCTCCCATGCATATGGACTCTGGGACTTTGCTTTTGCCCTTAGCACTTCTGGCCACCCCTACACCCAGTACTGCTCTCCCCACAGGACACAGTAGAATGGTGATTTGGGCCTCTGCACCCAACAGCAGTAAAGTTTGAGCTCCTCCTAGAGTGAGCTGCTTATACCTACATGCCCGGACTTTCCTAATTTTTCCAATGAAAGTTCAGGATCCCAGGAACCACCTCAATCCCAGCAAACTGGATGGCTGGTCACCTTCATTCCTATCCCACTGAACTGGCCTCCTTCACTGAGATTTGTTCTAAAGCAGCTGAAGCAGGAATTGAGGGGAAGGGGCCTTAGGGACCTGCAGGGAAGAGTGAGGCTTCTCAACATGAATCAGTGCTGCCTGTTCCTCTCAATAAACAAACTCTCCAGGGCCCTCCAGGGGATAGTACTGAACTTTGCCTGCCTGCCTGAGAAAGTGCACCAAAGTTTAAAAAAAAAAAAATGTGCCAACATGTACATTATCATTAATCCTCAGAATTTGAAAAGCTCAATTTACACTATTTTAAGTCCTTATTGGTCATCATCAGCAATGTGCTTACCATTAAAAGATTTCTAGCAAAATAAAGATTGCGAGTGGGTGGCCTGCTCTTGTAACACACACACAACCAGCTTACTCCAGGAGGAGCTCAAACTTTACTGCTGTTGGGTGCAGAGGCCCAAATCACCATTCTACGTTGCCCTGTGGGGACAGCACTGGAGATCCTGTGACTCAGCAGTCATAGGCATTTTACTCTTTAGCTAGGGTCGAGGTGAACCAGGAAGGAATGGAAGGCAGGGTTGTGTGCACAGATGAAGAGAGCTGAAAGAAAGCTTAGAATAGATCCAGGGGGCTCCTCTCTCAACTTTTGATGGAGATAATTGGTTGGGATAAAGTAAAAGAATTGTAGAGTTGCTTACCTTGACTGTCAGAGTCACTGGTGCTCCAGAATATTGTTATGAGACGTTTAGAGGGCCTCCAGAGGTATCCACCAATGTTCAGACTAAATAGTGTTGATTAAGGTAAAGAATTAATAGGGGCTAATGGTAAAGCCCTAATCCTCTGAGGAAAAAGTGTTCTTCAGAAAAGTGCTTAAGAATTGTTACATGACAACAATATGGAGAAAACACATAATCCACATGAGGGTAAAAGGCTGTCCTTCCACCTCTCTTTCAGAGACAGGGGAAGGGGAGGGCGACAGAGGCGAGAGGCGAGAGGCGAGGAAAGAGAGAGAAAGAGAGAGAAAGAGGAGGGGGAGGGAGGGAGGGGAAACATTGGTTTCCTCCAGCATGCACCTCATCTGGGGACCTAACCCACAACCTAGGTATGTGCCCTGACAGGGAATAGAACCTGCAACATATCAGTGTACAGGATGATGCTGCAACAAACTGAGCCACAATGGCCAAGGCGAGTATTCCCTCTCGAAGTGAATCTTTCCCCTCAGCATATAAACATACTCAGAAATCTCATTAACAAACATGTAACAAAAAAGAAAAAAAAACAGTAACAACAGCAAAATAATATAAACTCCAAAAAAATCTTAATTATAACCTTCCTCTATATTAATATATTTAAATTCACAACCAAAATTCTGTAGGGAATAACATCAAGTCTGAACTTCTGCATCCTAGCTTCTAACTTTCCATTCACCCCTAAATCTACTGCAATTGACCTTGCATTAACAGAATTACACCAAAACAGCTCATACAAAAGTCACCGATGAACTTTCACTTGACCCATTTTATCCTCCTTTCATTTTTCAGTTGGGTGTCCAGGTCACTCTATAAAAATTGGAATACCTTTGGCTTCAATTTCAGAAACCTCAAGTAAAAAGGGAGTAATCAATAAGGGAATTTTATTATCTCACATAACCTAGCCGCACTCCTTAATAAGATGCCTGATATATGGCATCTGCATGGTTTTAAATCACCCGTTTATAAATCAAGGACACTGTTGCTTTTCACTTTTAATTTTACCATGGTTGGACATGTTGCACATCAAGGTTGTGTGTGTGTGTGTTACTACAAGAGCAAAACTGTACATGCCAACATCCATTCAGAGGATGTTTCTCCCTATACATCTTTCTCAGACTGTGGAATCTCAGAGGGAAGGCAAAGGTGGGTGGGTGGGAAGAGATTAACCAAAGAACTTGTATGCATATATGCATAACCCATGGATACAGACAATAGTGTAGTGAAGGCCTGGGGTCGGGGGACAGGGGCAGGCTAGAAGATGACAATGGGAAAAATGAGGGACATATGTAATACCTTCAACAATAAGTATTTTTTTTAAAGTCTGAAATTTTTCCCCAGAAATCTTTTCATGGCCCCTAATACTATAGATTACATACTCACCTATACATGGTTCAAAGACAAGGGGGAAAAGATACCCATTTTCTTAAGGGATCCTAAATAGAGAAAGTTCTATTTGTCCATAGGGCCATGCCTACCTATAAATTAACCAGTTTCACTGGGAAACAGACCATCATGTGGACCCAGAATAATCAGCATTTACCTGGTTCCTGTAGAAAAGGGATGTCAGAGTTCTGCCAGCCAGGAGGCGGGCAGTGTTTTTTGGGTGGGTAACCAATGATGCCATCTGTATACTTTTTACTGGATTTTCTGCTTCCAGTAAAATTGTTTAGGCCTTCCAACTTCTGCTTATCCCTTAAATATTCATATTGGTAGAGTTGTTCAGGGCCCTTCTCCAGTCATTTTCTTCTTCCCAATTTGTCACTCACACCTTTGGGTCTGTCTACCAACTATATCTCTTGACATAGAAACGTATTTTTCTGCAAGAGATAACTTACCTGTGTTTGAGCTGCTATCTGCTTGAATAGACAAGACAGCAAACCTAATTACCCCTCTGCAAACACACATGCGTGCGCACGCGGGGGGAACGAACACACACACACACGCACACATACACACTCTCATATGCAGACATACTCACAGGCGTACATACTCACACAAACATGCACACAATGACACAGATATAGACATGGACTCGTTCCAAATCTTTACTTTTTTTTTTTGTAGCAACTGCTGAATTTATTCAGCATAACCATAGAAGTATTGTCTTCATGCTGTCACACACAGACACAAACACAGACACAGCGCAATGTCCATATTTAGCCCAAGTGTTTTCCTTCTGAGGCTCACTTATACGTCTTCATATGCCACAGCCCATCATTTAAATAATGGATATTTTCAATGCCAATCCCTTTGTTCACTTTCTCGATATCTTCCGCAGACATCTTCATAACGCCAACACACAGGGCATGCTGTTTTCCTTCTGCCATGATTGCAACAACAGTATCCGCTGCAGCAGGGTAAAGCTTGGCTCCAGGCGAGGTTAAGCCTGGACACATGATATTTGCGCCACTGAGCACAAATTTGATGGCTCCTTTATCAACTTGCTGTCGTGGCAGGATAAATGGGTATTTGTGTAGTAGCCTTAGAGTTGGATAAAAAGGCCCTTCTCTCTGTCGAAAAAACAGTAACTCTCCGTTTACTGTAAGGATTTCTATATGCTCGTGGCACCGCACTATTTTAACCGGATCTTTCTTAGGCATGATTTGATTAAGCCATGGTTCAATGCCTGGAAACTGTTCTATCAACTGGTTCTTAATACCCTTAATAACTGACGTTTTCAACTGGATGCAGTTGGACACGTTTTCTTTTTCATCAAATTTCTTGAACATGATCCAAGGTGGCGGGGGCGACAGTAGGAAAAGGCCCGAGAGAGAAAAGAACTGAATTCGCAAGGGTCGGCAGAGGTGCTTACCGGAGGAAGGCCGGCAGAGACGGTCGGGGCTGCTGTCGTGAACCGGAAGGGAACGTGCTTTACAGCTCACCGTAGACCCTACTTTACGGCTCGCCGTAAAATCTACTTCCTTTCCTCCGAACGTCGTGGCGCTCTCTACGGCCGTTTGGGTCTGTGGATTCTCCAAAGCGTTTGGTCACCGGGCGGAGCTTGAGAGGGCAGATGAGTTAGAGCGATACTTCTTGTTTCGGGGCCCGTGCTTTGTTTAAATTATTGGGAATCCGAATCATCAGCCAGTTACCCCAGCCACAAACCGGGGGACGCCTCCCGCTGACACGCCTCTCCTCTGACGTCACCACTAGGGGTCGAGACCTGTTTGCGTTCCGCTTCCGCGTATCTCACAATCTGGCCCCGCCGTCGCGCTGTCTCTTTGTTGCGCTCAGGTCCGTATAATTGCAGGCAGTTCCTGCCTGTCGCCGCTGAATGCAACCCTGTCCCCTCCGAGCTCTCACCACCTGCACCCAGAGAGGAGGGTTTGTAGCCAGAGAGGATGCAAATGCTGGTGGATCCCAATCGTTTTAAGCATATCCAAACTCATTCCATGGCCCAGCACTCGGTCTGTCTCGGCGAGTGGTCCTGGTGCTCCTGAGAAGAATGTGCAGCTTTGTGTGGGTTCAGCGCTCGGTACACGCCTGTATTGCCCCGTTGGTGGAGGAAGTTGTTCAGGTGTTCTCTCTCCTTACTGATTTGCCGTCTACTTGTTATTCTCAGTTACTGATCAGCATATTGAAATCTCAGCATATTGAAATGATGATTATGGTCCTATTTCTCCTTCAAGTTAGCTCTGTCAGCTTTGGATTCATGTCTTTTGAAGCTCCGTTTATTAGGTCCGTACCCGCTTAATATGAATTGATTTTTATCCATATAGATTTTACTTGTCATCCTAAGAAGTGAGAGGTCCACGAGAGCAGGAATTGTGTATTTTATCTCTGTGTTCTTCCACCTAGCACAAGATCTGTTTCATACTGTATACTGTGTACACACTGAGTGCCTGATACATGAATGAAAGAATACTTCCACTTCCCCGGGATCCGACCCCTTCTTTCCCTGACAGTGCTGTGTGAACAGAATAAAGGCAGATCCTTGCTCTCTGGACACTTCTCCTCCCCAGTAAACATGCTTAACCTGGGAGTGTACTGCAGCAGGAATTAGAACAGGTGCTGGATATATAGTGGAAAGATAACATACATGTCCGCATTCTGGAGAGCTTACAGCACATGAGGTGTCATGTGTAATCGCCCCGTTCTCAAGGCAAAAATCTGTATTAGTCTAGGTTCTCTATCTGTATACGTGTGTGTGTGTGTGTGTGTGTGTGTGTGTGTATTAATTATAAGAAATTGGCTCCCACAATTATGGAGGCTGAGAAGTCCCAATATTAACACTCAAGATGGAGATTCAAGAGAGCCAATGGTGTCAGTTTGAGTCCAAAAGCCTGAGAACTAGGAGAGCTAATGGTGTAAATTCTAAGCTGAGTCCAGGTCAGAAAAAGACCAATGTCCCCCTTCAAAAGCCATCAGGCAGAAGGAATATCTTCTTACTCAGGAAAGTCAGCTAATTTGTTGTATTCAGGCCTTCAAGTGGTTGGCTGATACCTTTCCACATTAGACAGGGCAATCTGCTGTACTTTGCCAGTTAATATGTTAATCTCATCCAGAAACACCCAAAATAATGTTTGACCAAATATCCGGACCAGCTACGTTGACACATAAAAATAACCATCACAAAGGTACACCATCTTAACTGAAGCAGCATAGAGTGGGGTGTTTATGTGTGCTGACCCTAGAACCCAGGAAAGACTCCTGCTCCATTACGTGGAATCCTGAGAGTTACTGAACTTGTCTGTGTTTCAGTGTATTCATCATGAATGTGTGATTAACTAGAATACCCATCTCCTGGGGGTGAGGGTGAGAATTGCTTGAATTAATATTCAGAACAATTGGGTTTTAATTATTTCACATAGCTGTTATTAAATTAACATAAAAATGGTTTCATGAATATTTTAAAAATCTCTTCACACGGGAGAAGGTAAAACTGGCTTTAGATTTGAGCTTTCCTATTTATGGTTGAGTTTCTGATCTGCCTCCCTGAGACTTCACTCCAGTCAATTTGAACCTGTGAAGAGTCACACATTTCTAGATACATCTCTGATTATTTTACAAGCAGCTAACCTTGCTTGTTATGTATGAGTTTTTTGTGCTTAACTCTTATGGGGTGATTCTTTTTCTTTTGTTCTTAGGGGTTGCCCCATTGTTCTTATGTATGAAGTTAGTACTGTGTAAGCAGCTTAAACAAAATGTCATAGAAATCCAAGGGATGAAAAGTCATTACTGGCTAGAATTAACCAAGGTGACCTGTCCGTAGATAACTAATCGTTTAATCCAGGAATAATCTGATTTGGAACTGGCTATTAGAGAAATACCCAAGGGATTTTTTTAATGAAGCTATTTTAGAGAAAGGACTCTAAAAGTGTAGTCAGTGAAAAATCTTCTTGAAGCCAATAATCCTCTTTATCTGAAATCATACTCAATTCTGTACAATGTAACTTCTCCAGAGTAAACTTTTTCTTGGCCCACAAGCATCTGTTTGCTGTCTATCATAAAGAGGACACTAAGCTCTAGTTTCTATATTTAAATTCTTCAGTTGAAAAATGAAAAAAACTTGTTTAGATTTCCTAAAACTCACCTTCTCTAAAATGGGGCCTGGTTCTTAAAATGTAGAGAAGAATCTAAGTCTTTGAGACTGGTATACATTAACATGAAAAAAATGTGATACATAAATGTTCCTTAAATTAATATGTTAAAAAATTGAAATACAGTACCAAATTATCCTGGTTAAATAACTTAAAATTAATTCAAACTTAATTAACTAGATATATTTTTAAAAGTAGGAAAGTTAAGGCACCAAACTCAGTGTTTCAAGCCAGGGTGTACCACTTCCTAAGTTTTATTAGTCTCCCTTAGTATTACTTTATTTCTTTATGAAATCTGAATAAAACTGTATATACTTCACAATGTGTATGCGGTGGTTATGAGAGGAAAAAAATACATTATACAAAGGACTTAGTAGTAGGAAGCAGTACATTTAAAAGTGTTTCATTTATTTATTTATTTGCAATCACCCTTTGTGCAGTAGTTATAAGGTCTAAGATTATACTGTGTAAAAATTTTACAGAAAATTACTGTAGCTTTGGATAATTTACTAGTCAAATGGTCAAGAGATGCCAGAATTCAATTTTACGTCTATAATCTCAAGAGAGTATGTACTTGAGATACAGTGTTTATGTTGCAAAGTTAGAATGAGGAAACTGATGGAGGAAATTTCTCAGGTTCCTCAAATCTCCAAAATTTGAAGTGGTACTCACTCACCTGGGTTGTATTAATAGTTTCAAACGTTTCCCCTTAAAATACAGCTTTGTTTGCATTTTGAGAAAAGGCCATTAGAGGGCAGGAGAACTAAACTAAAATCCACATGTGTGGTTGCCAAGCTTGAAGTACTACACTATATATTAAAAGGATTATTTTCAACTAATAAATAACTATTTTTAATCAAATACAATTATTTTTCCTCAATTGTATTTCCTAAATAAGTAAATTCATCTCTACAGTCACAAAATATTTCCCAAGCTTAAGTGAAGCACATTCTAAATATAGGTATTAGTTTACAATTTGCCAATTTTCTCTGTATCCATCTATAAATAATCAATAAAGTAATTGTTTTTTAAATGATGTCTATAAAAACACATTAGCCCTACATTTTTAACTTCTCAAAGAAATATAAAACTATTTTCACATTGCTTCAATTTATGAACTATTTTTGGAAATTCAAAAATTATTTGTATATTGTAAAAATAGCCTCACAATATTCAAAATGTTTTTATGTCTTACACCTCATTGCTCAGTTCCTTAGGTAACTCTGCTAAGTTTCTCATCTCCAAAAATCCAAAATTTGAAGCAGGATTCACATACTTGGGTTGCATTAATAGTTTCAAATGTTTCCCCTAATACAGCTTTGTCTGCATTTTGAGAAATGACCATTAGAGGGCAGGAGAACCAAATTGAAATCTACATGTGGTTCCCAACCTTGAAGTACTACACCAGGGGTCCTCAAACTTTTTAAACAGGGGGCCAGTTCACTGTCCCTCAGACCGTTGGAGGGCCGGACTATAGTTTAAAAAAAAACTATGAACAAATTCCTGTGCACACTGCACATATCTTATTTTGAAGTAAAAAAAACAAAACGGGAACAAATATAATATTTGTATTTGCATGTGGCCCGCGGGCCGTAGTTTGAGGACCCCTGTACTACACTATATATTACTAAGCATACTAAGCATACAGATGGATAGTTAGAATGGGGTGTGTGTGTGTGTGCACATGCGCTTATGTGGGAATCGGCCCCACATGGGAAAAGTGGGCATGGGGCCCCAGGATCTTAGGTATCCTCTTCCCATATGGACACCCACCTCGCTCTGGACCAATTTCTACCTTTCCTGGCCTCAGTTTCATGATTATCTCATGAGGATTAGACAGGGAACCACGTGAGCCCAGCTCAAAGTGGATCCGGCCCCTGGGTGAGGGTGGCGGGGCACACTCAGGGGCGCATGGCTTCCCTCCACATGTGGACTCGAGCAGAGCAGCCAGCCTCATGTCCATGGCGGAGCACACACAAGGTCTTGGACAGTGTGCATGAGATGCCACCTCATGGCATGCACAATGTACCAATGGTTCCCAGCCTGGCCAGTACCACTGGACCTCGACCGCCACTGCTCTGAGACCCCACAACCTCTGGAACCATTGCATTACCCTACTCCAGCCAGTTGGTCCAGAGACCTGGGGACATGAGCGTTGTGGAACAGCCCCTGTCCCACTGTCCTTGTCCCCAGACACTACATGAGGGGCCAGTTCTGTGCATGGCTAGAACAGGAGTCTTAGAGGAGGCAGTGGACACGCCAGGCAGGGAGAAATTTAGGCTGCCTTCCCCCTCTTCCTTTATGTCCCTCCCTGTTTCCTCTGGCAGAAGCCCAGGACATGAGTTCCTGCCTGTCCCTGGCTGGTGTAATGGGGAAGGTGGGACTCCTGGGAGGAGGCGGCACCACAGTGAGAGCAGAGTAAGAATTTGGAGTAATTACTGCTATTAGAGAACCCCATGTGATCAGTGAGTCCACCCCATTTCAGAGATGAGCAGTGGGTACCAGAGCTCAAGGTCCCCCAGCTGTAAGTGACCAAGGCCAGCTGAACTGAGGCTCTGCAAAGTCAGGATATGACTTGCTTGTCCCAGGGCTGTAACACCACCCCAGGTCAATCTGACCCCAAAGGCTGTGTATGCTGTTAATAGAAGCCCAAGGAGGTGGCCCCTGAGCCCAGCCTTGGAGGTGAGTCCATCA